CATTTTTTGTTTTCTCTTCCTTTTTTATTAAAAAAAATCTTCCTTGTTTATTGTTTTTTTTTTTTTTTTTTTTTTTTTTTTTTTGCTATTTGATATTATTGTTTTATTGACCAGCAATTGGCTAGAATTGTTAAAATTCTGTCATGAAAATGAATCTGCATGACTTGCTGGAATAATCACAGTATGCTAATAAGTCCTTAGTTTAGTACTTCTGCATTTCTTTTCATTTGTTTGGGTTAATCATCATTTCTTTCTCTTTCACAGAACTCTAAATTGTCCCCAGCTCTTGCGAGAGGTAGGGGAATGAATATTTCACTGCTTAGGTGTGACTGTCAAATGTTCAACAGCTGGCCCATTTCCAGGACCTTTTTACCAGTTATATCTGACACATATTGACATGTCAGATAATACTAGGGCAGAATGCTTCCAAGTATGGTCAATCTTTGGAGCCAGAGTGAGTAGCTCAATGCAGCAAAACGTTGAGTTGAGTCAAACTGGTCCCAACCTGGTACTGAAGCTTTTCTGTGTCAAAAACCACCTAACACATAATGCAGCAAAACGTTGCATTATGTTGCAGAAATATTGGTTATTTCACCAACATTTCTCTCAGTTTTTCTCTATAACTCTCTGGATTACTCTGGTAATCCAGAGTGGGAAGGATGCCACTGAGACGATAGATAGAGGTAGTGTAACATAGGCATGTCATCTAAAAAAAGTTATTTTAATTAAGTATATTAATAATAGCAATGTAGAAATCTCTAAAACATCTGAATATTGAGCCACAGTCTGACTGACGAGAGAACTGGTGTCCAGCCCTGGTTTCCTCTCTTGACTGCAATGTTGACTAGCAAACGGCTGACTAGCCACGCTCACTGTAGCCACAGCCAGCAGGTCTGATGGGATCCTGAGGAGTCGGCATCCCATCATACCAGAGCAGCTGAGTGCCTGACAGTCCTCAAGTCAACTTAATTGTACACTTTCATAAACAGTTTTCTTAAATGGGCAATATTATTTATTTTCCAGACATGTAGTACCATTTTGTTATGAAAATGCTGCATATATCAAACATAATTTAAAATAAATTTGACGCCCTGAAATTGAGCATCTGTCTCTTTAAGAAGTCCCTGCTCATTCTGACACTCTGCCTTCAGCACATCATTGCAGCAATGCATCTCATTATACTGTTAACAGCCGTTCCTTTAGAGGAGTGCACTGTAGTAGTTCCAATGATTAACATCAACATGAAGTCAACTCTTAAAATGGAGGAAATGCTTTTTCAAATTTTCTCAGTTAAGAGAATGTCCTGTAACTATATTTTTGTGCTTCGTGCACAAAAATATAGTTAAGGAGAATAGTAATATAGTAATAGTAATATAGTATGGAGAATATGGGGGAAACATTCTAATTTCATTCTGATTTGTTATCAGACAAATCAGATTTGTGATGATATATGATGATCTTGGTATATGATCTGTGTAGTCTATCTAAATGTGCTTTCTGTGCAGGCCAGTTATATGCACAGAGTGGAGGGTCAGACGTGGAGGCACTTCAGGAAGCATACAGACAGATTCACTCTGTGGAGGGCTGCAATGGTCACCGCTGTCTCCCTCTAGAGGATGAAGGGAGGACCGACAGGCCAGTCTCTCCGTCTCTTCCTCAGCATGCTCGGCAGACTCTACAGCCTTTTTCTACCAGCGACTCAGGTCAGACACCACTTCTCACATAAACTTTCAGCTGATTTTTTTTCTTTTTTGTCACACACAGTTTAAGCCAATATATTTCACATCTGTAGGTTCAGTATGTGGGACTGTCATCTTTATACCAAAAGGATTCTCTTTAGATCCCATGTTAAAGTATTCTAGTACTTTTTGCCTCAGTCAGGGTTCTTAACAGATGTCCTCTTGACAATTATAATTAACTTCTTGCCCATTTAAATTTTTTTGAATGTACATTTAGTTCTTGGTTAGATGTTTCCCATAATACATCATTATGCATGTGATTCTATAAGCTATTAAATGACCATTTTGGGTACAAGGCTTTTTGAAGATGTCTGGAAGACAGACACACAATTTCACAATTTCCACTGGAGGACAGTGGAAATTGAAAGAAGAGTAAAATTGTTCTTTCCACACAAACATATAAATTCTTATATGCGTGTGTGGACATTGTTCCACATTCCCCCAAATGGTGTCTGAGTCAACTTTCTGGAATTTGTCCCACTTTGGGGTTGCAAGTTTACAATTAAAATTAAGTTGTCTAATCTGAAATTTTCATCTCATACTTTCTGCAGTAAAATAAAAATGCACATTCTTATTTTTGATTAGCATTTTCCACAGCAGTCGTCAGAATTGGATTCTCTTGATTAAGGAGATGGTTAGAAATTGCCAGGCTGTGATGTCTCTGTTTGGATGCTTCAGATTTGCCTACAGCAGAGGAGCTGATGAGGCCTATACGAGCAGAAGACCACATCAGAGGCTTTACTCTGCCTGTCAGGTTAGATCCATGGACTTCTACATCCAAACATTAAACAGTTACCACACAATACGAACTAGAGCCGTATTATAAAGCATAATGTAGTCCCATTATTATTGATGTCGACAAAGAAAGAACAGTCAGCGTCTCAAGCAATACTGCTTGATTACTGAACTGCATAAACCATCTTAGGTGTAGCTATGTAAATACACACACATTAAACAATCTTAAATGAGTTTGTAATCTCCCTTTCAAACAATAAAGGAGATTTAATACACATGCATCAGGTTATATGCTTTAATTTCATGAAACGATCAATTAATAGTTATAGAAGTGGCAGCAGGCTGCACAGTGGCGCAGTTGGTAGAGTGTGTGTGTGTGCATGGTTGTTTGTCCTGTCTGTTTCTGTGTTTCCCTGCGACAGACTGGCGACCTGTCCAGGGTGTACTCCACCTCTCGCCCGGAACATTAGCTGGAGATAGGCACCAGCACCTCCCAACCCCACTAAGGGACAAGGGTTTATAGAAAATGGATGGATGGAAGTGGCAGCATATAAACACACTAATTACCAACTGGAAAATGTGAAGCAGCTGTCTAGGAACCATATTTACTGTACTTTTATCTAATCAGCAATGATGGCCATTTCTATCTGATGAACTGATTTCAGTCAGGAACTGAGGATGTTCCCACGTGTGACTCCATCAGAGCTGGACCTGAAGCAACCTGGGCAGAGCTACTCTAGAACCACAGAACCGCCCAACCTTGACCTGACCTCCAGTATCAAGAAGGAAGTGGAAAGACTGATGCAGGAACAGAATAAACATTTTCCCCAAACTCTGTCACTGGTTGACAACACAAAAAAAAAAACTGTAAGGAAGGCTAAACTTTGAAAGCAGACACGTATACACAAATGCTCGCGCGTATTGAAATTCAGTTTGCTTATACACTGTTCTTCACAGACATCCAAGGGCTCCTCTGTGTTCCTTTCCTGCATGCTGTCTGAAAGGAAGCTTCCTCTCACTCCATCCAGAGGCAGGTTCGGGGACAGCAAGGCAGCTGGGAAGATGAGCAAAGCTGCTCCCACACCCAAAGCCCCCCCCTCAACAAACAAATCCACAAAAAAACAAGAACAAGATAGCGGAGTTGCTGCAGGTCACTGTTGTCCCTGAACATCTCAACAATATAATATATATATATTATAATGGTACTGTTAGCTGTATGTGTGAACATATGGTGTGTTTGGCCAGTAGAGACAGGTGTGAGGGTGAGCAGTGAGCTGGTGGCATCCGTTCAGTCCCTGGTGGCTGTTCTCGAGCGGCAGATACACACCAGCAGTCTCCATTATGCTGTGCCTCAGGACTGCAGCTGTACACAAGCCCCTCCTCAGTTTGCAGTAAGACAACAATTCACCACAGTGAATATCATGTATTCTATGTATTCACCTGCTCTCATCAGTACAGTTAGGCCATGGTGTGTACATGACACAAAATCAATCAGTCTGGGCTGGATCTGCTGGTTACCTCAGGTTTATGCTGCCTGTGTTGAGTTTGTTCAGTTAGTGTTCTGACTTCCAAACGATCCAGGACAGTTCTGTGATTGAGGCATTAAGAGCACAGCTGGCCCACAAGGTAAAGGAGCTGCAGATGATGAAGGATGATGCTGAGCACATCAACTCACTGAGACAACAGAACTACCTGCTGCAGAGCAAGGTGCAAAACACACTTCACATTAGAATACATAGTTTCTAACAGAAACATTCCTCTATGTATTCACCTGCACTCACCAGCTGATATTTACTCACATAAATACCAGTTTACATGACATAATTGTTCATTCAATCAGAGTGGCTCCTTCTGGTAGCCAACCGACACACACACACACACACACACACACACACACACACACACACACACATCGGAGCAACTTGGTAATTTTTTTGTTTTTTCTTCCATTTTCTTTTTAAAGTCTTTTTGGCTGTGAACACAACAGTTTGACCTCAGTCACATGAAATAAGTCTAGATTTTGCTATAATTTTTATTTTATTTTCTTATTATAACAACACTGGGTTATAATGAGTGTTGGCAGACGCTTTGCAGTTAAAAGCATCCAGCTAGGTTTTTATTCATGGAAACCAGTTTCCAAACACACAGAGTGAGGAAATTAACATAGTCAGGACTGTTGTGATATTCAATGCCCATTTGTTCCCATGCAATTGTGAATGTTTGCTTTGTTCCACTCAGCTGCGCAGTGCAGAGGAAGCTAATCAGAGGAGATGGCTGGAGGCTGCAGATCCTGCCACTGAGGACAAAATCCAGCTAATAGAGAAAGAATTGAAAGAACAGGAGATGCTCCTCAAAGGTTACCAGCAGGTCTGTTCCTAACCATTCCTCCTGAACATGTCCTAATGTCTGTTCTTGACCTGGGCTTGATTCTCATTTAGTTTTTAATTCCCTTTCCTCATACATGGGTTTAGTCAACCACTTCTCTATCTCTGTGTCATGTAGACCAAAAAAGGTGTATATAACACATTTAGTCTGCAGTCTGAACACAGGTCACATTTCATCTACTTTTTATTGGAATGAGACATGCATTATAATTCTGCACCAGAAGGAGGCAGACATAATAAATCCAGGCATATACAATTCAAATTATGAAATGATGAAAGAAGTCTGTCACTGAAGCACATCACATTAACACCACTCATGGTCCTAGTCCAAGCAGACCTCTCTACAGACGCTGCAGTCAATACTCCGAGGCTTTTGCAGTTATAAGTGAGGAAAATAAGTATTTGAACACCCTTCGACTTTGCAAATTCTTCCACTTAGAAATCATGGAGGGGTCTGAAATTTTCATCTTAAAATAATCTAAAAAAAAAAAAAAGAATCCAGAAATCACAATTAGATTTTTTTTTATAAATAATTTATTTCTGTGTT